AAAAAACCCACTAAATCCACCCTCTCAAATGCATGCACTCATGCAGCTGCGCACTCCAGCCTATCCGAGACGCTGCACAACAATACGCACAATTTGCACACAGATGTTTTAATGGATGTGCAGATAAGCAAACACTCGACCTGTGCCGCCAATAACTGAATTCATGTGTAAACGATGTTTTGACAGCCGCTCTTCTCGCTCCCCGGGAGGTCGTGTAAGCCGTCTCCTGCCATTTCTCCCTCCCCCCACCTCCTCCTGCCACTCGCTACTATTTTAACTCTGTTTTCTCTCTCAGCACCTCTGTCCTCTGATTTGTTTCTCGTGTGTGTGTGTGTGTGTGTGCGTGTGTGTTGCATTGTCATGAGATGCTGCTTGCCTTGCATGCCAAACAGCCTGCATTACATTTGTGACCTACTTTGGCTCAGAGTGTGTATTTTTTATGAGAGTGGGAGATGCAGACGTGCAGATGGAGACGTGAGGCTCGCCGTTTGCATAGAAACACATTTAAAACTGCACACCGAGCCATCGGCACACGCACATGCACACGCACATGCACACGCACATGCACATGCACACACACATATGCCGATCATTTATACGCACCTTTTTATTCGTCTGCATACCTCGGGTTACCTACAGTGCTGGTTGGCATAGTGACAGATGCCTGAGTGTGTGTGTGTGCACAAACAGCAAAATCTGCTAAAAAAAAAACATACATGTTTACTCAAAAATGATCAAAGTGCAGCGTGTACATGCAGTCATGTGTACATGCAGTCATGTGTACATGCAGTCATGTGTACATGCAGTCATGTGTGCAGCACGCATAGTTGCGTATCTGTGTACAACAAGGTGAATGCAGGAGAGGAGGACGTCTCTCTTTCTCTGTTTTCCTTTCAGTTTTGTGTGAAAAGGAAACGCTTAAGTATCATCACGCTTGAGTGGCGCTTCCACGGCCAGAAGCTTATTTAATTCAGCCCCCTAAGCTTTTTTTTTTAAACAGAATTCCCAATTAATTTTTAAATTACAGCACAGACTTGTTGACTAGCTTCTGACACTTGAGAAATTATGTTAATTTCCACACTTCGCACGGCACCGGAGCCGGCTCGCTCCCGCCGCGCTGCTGAGGATGTGGAGTCGGTGAAACGCCTTGTTGGCCTCGTGGCTGCAGGGCCAAGAGCGCTGCTGGTTTACAGCACGGAGACTGCGTTCGTGCAGAGCCACGCTCGGCGCTGTGCTCCGACAGCTTGAGCGTAACAGCGTTCGTTGGAAGATTTAAAGTCGCTGCTCTCACACTCTGACCTTGACTTTTAATACTGCAACCTACTTTTATTTTTACTAGAGATGTCCAATACTGATATCATAAATTTGGATATCTGCCGATACCGATATGAATCCGATATAGTGTTTTTTAATCAATCAAACTGTTTTTTTAATATCTTGCTGCATTTTGTATAAGTTCATACTCAAGTTTAAATAAATAACAACACTAAAGCTATTCTGTTATACCTGTATGTAAAAAAATACACTGCACCCAAAATATGTCATAGATCAGCAACACTGATCAATCTAATAAACGTAAACCTGCTCCATCCTCCCTATTCTGATATTTTAAAGAGTACTTAGCAGAAATATTAAGCAACCTAACTAATAGGGTTGCAAACTCCCAGCAAAAAAAAATAGGGAACCACCCTCTTCCTCATGATGCTTATTTGATGTAATCAAATTTAATTTGATACAGGGGGAAAATGCACAAAAATAAATTATTTTTCAAGAATAATTAAATAGATTCAACATCTTTCTTCAACAGAACTGCAGACTGCACAGATGGTTCCCAAAGGAAAAAGTACTACAGCTTACTAGGGTATATTAGACTTAACAGTTACTATATACAGTAAT